GACCCCAGGTGCACGAGCCTGTGATGGCTGGGGGATGCTCTGTTTCTGTGACCTTAGCAGCTCTGTGGGGCAGGACCAGCGCTCTGTTCTGAGTTTGGACCGCGCCTGGCCCAGCGGTGTCCTGGGCCATGGCTCGGGCTCTCATGTGTCGCGGTGACACTGCTAATATATCACAGCTGTCGGGCAGGCTCCTTGCCATCCTGCAAAGGGCCCACTGGCCGCAGCCTGAGGTGGAGCTGCACACGGCAGGCATGTGCCCGAGGCTGGAGATGCCCAGCCGGGAGGCCCCTGGAGCTGATGCTGTGGCATTTGCTCTGGTGCTCCGCGTGCGGCTTTGCTTTCCAAAGCCTGGGACTCAGCTCTCTCTTGTGCCACTGCTACGCTGGGTGATCCGTCTAGGCTGGATATTAGGAAACACTATTTCACTAGGAGGGTGGTGAAGCACTGGAATGGGTTACCTAGGGAGGTGGTGGAATCTCCTTCCTTAGAAGGTTTTAAGGCCCCAGCTTGACAAAACTCTGGCTGGGATGATTTAGTTGGAGTTGTGACATTACACTCCATATTCTTTATGACAATATGCTTGTGAGATGGAACTGACAGAACTGAGATGTGCTTTATGCAAGATGGCACCTGTGAGGTATCATTGGAAAGGTTCTGATTTACTGAATGCGATTATCCAATGTGTGTGCCGGTATCATTTCTGTATCTGACCATGTCTCCGTATTTCAAATGTGCTACGCTGGATGAGGCCAAACAATGTTAATGGCTTACTGAGGAAATGCACAAGCACCAGGATTACCCCAGGAACTGCGTGCAACAGAAACCCCTCAGAGATAGCACTGCACAATGGGAACGGTCTGACCCAGGTCACAGCAAAAGAGCTTTCCAGCAAGTGTGTGTGGGGGGGAGATATAAAAGAGGGGCAATGACAACGTGAGGGGGCCTCACTCTCCTGACAACACCACACCGGAAAATATCTGAGGAACAAAGACTGAACTGGGAGAAGTGATGGTCCTAGGCTAAGATCTTTAGTCTGTGTATGAAAACCTGGGAAAGCCAAGGCAGCTTGTGCCTTAAGAATCTGCCAGCCTGTTTATCACTCAGGGTGAGAATTTGCTAATTTGTATCCTACCTATCTAGTGGGTCAAGCTTAGTTTGCATGTTTTGTTTCATTTGCTTAGTAATCTCCTTCCTTCTGTTTGCTATTCCGTTAACCACTTAAAATCTACCTTTTGTAGTTTATAAATGTATTTTGTTTATTATTAAACCCAGATTATGTAATTTCTAACTTGGGGCGCAAGAAGTCGTGCACATCTCTCTTCACATTGAGGAAGAGGGTGGATTTTTATGAGCTTGCGCTGTGCAGATTTTTCTATACAGTGCAAGACAGTATTATTTTGGATTTATCTCCCCAAAGGGGTGTGAGTCCTCTCCCATGGAGCTGACTTCAGCGGGGTCTGTGTCTGCAGCGGGGTGTGGCCCTACCTGTGCGTGTGCTGCAAGAGGCCGGAGAGCCTCATTCAGCAAAACGGGGAGAGGGAACCCAGGCTGGTGGAACAGGAGAGGCTCAGTGAAATCCCAGTACATCAGGTGACATCCCGGACAGGGGCTCCAACCAATCACAGGGGTTGGTCCTGCTTTGAGCAGGAGGTTGAACCAGGGCCGGCTCCAGAGTTTTTGCCGCCCCAAGTGGCAGGAAAATAAATAAATAAATAAAAAGCTGTGATCGGCGGCACTTCGGTGGCAGGTCCTTCCCTCCGAGAGGGACTGAGGGACCCACCGCTGAATTGCCGCCGAAGAGCTGGACATGCCACCCCTTTCCGTTGGCCGCCCCAAGCACCTGCTTGCTGCGCTGGTGCCTGGAGCCGGCCCTAGGTTGGACTAGATGACCTCCTGAGGTCTCTTCCAACCCTAATCTTCTATGAGTCAATGATTCTATGATCCAGAGCACCTCCAACACACAGCTGCCTGGACCCCCACTCCCTATTTCACCCCCAGCTCACCACCCCCTTGCTGTGCCATCCCCTGGGTCGCATGCCCCTGAATACCATCCTACTACCACCCCCCCAGCATCCTCCAACACCGCTTGCCCTGCCCACGCTCTCCACCCTAAGCAAGAGTCCAGGGGCGCCCAGGCATTAGGCAGGCTCTCGGGGGCGAATTTCACCCAGTAGCGTTGAGGGGTGAGGTGCCTGGTCTCTCAGGGGTCCGGCTGGCTGGGGTGCCCAGCTGTGGGCATGGCACCAGCCTGGAGGGGCTCTGGGGTTCGCCCCCAGAGTGTTGGAATCTGGGCGCTGGATGATAGGGTGACAGACAGCAAATGTGAAAAATCGGGACGGGGGTGGGGGGTAATAGGAGCCTATATAAGAAAAAGACCCAAAAATCGGGACTGTCCCTATAAAATCAGGACATCTGGTCACCCTACTGGATGAAAATGAATCCACTAAGCAAATTACAACGTGAGGCTCATGTGGGACCTAACTGTGAGCTTGCGATTGACGGGCTGGGGGCAGGGCTGGCTATTTAAACCCAGACCATAAGTGGAGCCTAATTAGGCTCCCAGCTCAAGTCAGCTTCCCTTATTATTGGCATCTCTTCTGTGGTGACTGATTCTGGGTCATCTCCAGCTCCTCAGCTGGGGTAGCTGGGCCCAGAGCCGCAAGATGCCCCCCAGCTGGAGGCCCACCAAGGCGGGGTCTCCGTTCCCACCGCCAGGTGTACAGGGAACGGAGCACCACATCCGAGAGGTGTTTAGGGGCCTAACTCCCTTGGGGAGGATGCAGAGGGGTGACTGGGCCAAATCAGTGTGATGGTGCAACCCCGTGCACTAGGTCTGTTTCCATCTGCAGAGGGTGGACAGGGCAAACCTGGGGGTGCTGAGACCCGCTTCAGGCACTTCAAAGCCTGGGAGGTATTCGCCTGACACCTCTGAGCTCCCCTGCCCATCCAGCTGTCCCCTGCAACCCCCCCCCCCAGCTGCTCCCCGGCTGCTCCGGCTGCCCCCCCACACCTCCTCTGCCGGTCCAGCTGCCCCCCGTACCCATATGGCCAGACCAGCTGCCCCCTCACCCCCTGTCATCCATCTGCCTCCCCGCTCCATGGCCCGTCCAGCTGACATCCCTCTGTTCCGCTGCTCCCATGCCCCTGCCAGCATGCCATGTGCTTGCTTATGCTGCCATCTACAGGCCAGTGCCCAGCACTGCACCCTGCCACCCAGACCCCAGGGCTGCGGCTGTCCTGCCCCAGCGCTGGGGGCAGAGCCTGGAGGGTTGCTCTTTGCTGGCCTGGGCACTGCAGCTCCTGGGGCTCAGCCCCGCCCAGGAAATGGGGCCCCACAGCCACAGGAGGGACGGCCGCAGACCTAGAGACCCCAGGTCACTGCAGGCAGCAGGAGCCAGAACCAGGGGCCAAGCTGATGTAGCTGCTGTCTGCACTGGGGGCAGGACCAGTAGAGCGCGGGGCCCGGCCCTGGCTGTGAATGAGGAGCACAGGGCTATGCACACACTAGCCGTGAGGCCATGGCCTTGCCGGGGGGCATGCGATCCTGGGGCTGAGCCGGGGACAGCAAAGGGGACAGAGTCGGGGGGGGGGGGCAGGGGCCCCTGTAGGGAGCCGCAGCTAGGAGAGAGGCTGAATGTGTGGGGCAGTGCAGGAGAATAGCCCAGCCTCCCTGGCAGGACCATAGCTTCATTGACCAGAGAGGCAACAAGGGGATTGGCTAGAGCCAATCAGGGATGGGGTGAGGCAGCGGGGATCGCGCGGAGCCCGTCAGGGATGGGGCTGGGTGGTGGGGGTCACGCAGAGGCCGTCGGGGAAGGGGCAGGGCAGCGGGGGGTCACGCGGAGCCCATCAGGGATGGGGCAGGGCGGCGGGGATCACACGGAGGCTGTCAGGGATGGGGCAGGCGGAGGCCATTGGGGAAGGGGCGGGGCAGCGGGGGATGGGGCAGGGCGGCGGGGATCACGCGGAGCCCATCGGGGAAGGGGCGGGGCAGCGGGCAGAGGCATCCTAGAAGCCCACCAGGCTGTGTGGGGTCCTGGCCCCATCCCAGGGGTTGTGGGGTTTGGATGTGTCATTGCTGCTCCCTGGCCATGGAGCCCCTGGAGCAGCCCACCCACCCCGAGCCCTGGCCAGGGTCCCCGGCAGGACGGCACTGCCAGGCGCAGAGATGGGGCCGGCCCAGCTGCCTTGACCAGCCCAGTGAACGACTGGCTGCTGTGGGCCCCATGGGTGCCGGGAACGTGTAGTGGCCAGCCAGGCTGAGCTATGCCAGCCCAGGTTGTGAAAGGTATTTGGGCACATGGAGGTTGAGGGGAGTTAGGCACCCAACTAGTTTTAAGGCTCTGGACCCAAGGGTCTCCTACGCATGTGCTGGCTCTGACCTGTCTGAGCAAAGGGGAAGGCAGCACCAGCCGGGGAGTCACCCATGTGCAGCCTGGCCCCGTATGCTCTCCTGGGTCAGGCCTGGAGCCCAGCCCTCCACCTGTCCCAACTGGTGTAAACAAGGCACAGGCCCTGCTGAGCCATGAGAGGGCGATGGCCTCACTCCTGATTTACACCAGTGTCATTGGCTGCAGGGTGGGGCGGGCCACCTGCCCCTCACCCTGCACCTCACTGCTGGTGCCTGCACCCAGGGCAAAGTGGGTGCAGGGCGCTGCCCCTTCTAGGCTGGTGGCATGTAACCCTGGCAGGGCAGCGGTGTCAGCGACAACACCAGGCGCTGGGACCTGGGAGAATAGGGTCTTCAGTGGCGTGGCAGGGGAGGATCGGGCCCACAGTGCAGGTGCAGGGGAGGATCGGGCCCACAGAACCAGGGCAGGGGAGGATTTGGCCTGTGGTGCTGGTGCAGGGAAGGATCATGCCCACAGAGCCCGGACAGGAGAGGATCGGGCCCATAGTGCTAGGACAAGGAAGGATCGGGCCCACTGAGCCGGCGCAGAGGTGGATCGGGCCCACCAAGCCGGCACAGAGGAGGATCGGTCCCAGCGCGTTCCCAGGCCCAGACACGCCCATCCCCAGCCAGGCTCAGCTCCTGGCAGCCGCTGGCTGAGCTGGGCCGCCAGTCCCATTCAGGGAGGTCAGGGAGAGCCGAGTTGTGGGCCCACCCCAGCAGCTCGTTCCCCGGTGGTGCGGGGAGGGGCAGGGGCCGGGGCTGGGACGCGAATCTCCCAGTTTCTAGCGCCCCTCCTGCCCCCGCTCCTCCCCAGGCTGGAGTGCAGCTCGCAGGCCCCAGGGGCCAAAGGTCAGTGACTCTGCACACAGTCAGGACTCCCTGGCCGGGGCTCCGGAGTGGGCACTGTGCCGGCAGTGGCCGTCTGGGCTTGCTGCTGTCAAACCTGTCTGGCAGCCCCGCGCCGGCTCCTCCTCGCCCCAGCGCCGGGCTCGGGCTCTTCCGCTCCGCCGAGCCACGTTTCCAGAGTCCCGTCGTGCCCCCCACATCCCTGCGTCCCTGGGCCTGGGGGAGAGCAGCCCCGAGGCCCCCTGCCCTTGGAGACGGAGCCATGAGCCTGCTGGGCCAGGGAAGGCAGAACCGAGTGGCCCTGGGCCTCTGCACCTGCACCGAGCCCCGCCACGAAATGGGTAAGGAGAGAGCTGCCTTGCCTGCGGCACGGAGGGGACGGGGCTGGTTGGCAGGGGTGAAAGGGATTGTGGGAAAACCTCCCAGCATGCACTGTGGTCCCTGACTCCAGCCTAGGCCCCACCTCCCCCCGTCCCCACCTAGGTCCTTGGAGGGAGGGTTTAGGGGGCTTTCCACAGCACCAGGCCCTGCTGGCACTCATGCCCTGGCATGGGGGTGGGGGAATGCAGCCGGGCCCCCTGTGCACTGGGAGGAGCCGTCCTGGAGGTGGTGGGAGGGATTGGGGGGGATGGAGAGGGAGGTCCTGGTTGGCCCCCCACTCTGCAGACCTAGGGGACCCCGGGGCTCAGAGCTGGGAAAGACCCGCTCGGCACATCCTCCCTCTCGAGCCCAGATGGCACATGAGGCCCCCAGCTGGTGTCCTGGCCAGGCTAGAGGGCATGAGGGGCTCGCCCAGCGCCCATCACCGGGGTATCTGGCAACTGCTGAGAATTTAAATCTAGAAATAGCACGAAATCCCTGCCCTCTCTCCGCCTGCAGGGTGCTGCGTGGTGGGTGGGTGCAGGACGTGTCTGGGTGTGTGTGTGTGTGTCATGCCCACACGGATCAGTGTGACGGGGTCCCTAGATGAGCGTGGTTGGGGCTGCCCTGGCTCTGTCATGCCCACTCCAGCCCTGTGCCCATGGGGCAAGGCTGGCCCAGGCCTGTTCCGACTGCAGCCAGTGCCACTGGCATCCATGGGGCAAGAGTGTTAATAGCACATTAGGTTTGTGATCAGAACAACAGGGCAACACCTCTGCCCACTGGCCCCGGGGCTAAGATGCGCCGCCCATACCTGGAGGGGAGTGTCCTGCAGGAAGCCGTGAGGAGCTGGCAGGGCCAGGAATCACTTCCTCTTGTATTTGGCCGTGCACGGACCACAGGGGACCGGATGCTCACAGGCACCAGAGGGAAACTGCTCTTGGTGGAAGGCTTGGGGAAGCCCTGACCAGGGCCGGCTCTAGGATTTTTGCCGCCCAAAGCAAAAACAGTTTTGGCCGCCCCCCCACTTATTTAATTACCCCACCCCCGGCCCCACCTCAACTCCGCCCCTTCCCCAAATCCCCAGCCCTGCCTCCTCCCCCCAGGCTCTCAAGCCTAGGAGGGAGGGGGAGAAGCGGCGCTGCGCCACGGCCACTCGGAGTCTCCCCCCCTCCCAGGTTTGAGAGCCTGGGAGGGAGGGCGAGTAGCGGCGCACAAATCAGCTGTTTCGCGCGCCGTGGCAGCAGCAGCGGAGGTGAGCTAGGGCGGCCGGGGCACATTTTTAGGGGCAGCATTCTGGCGCTGGCCATGCCGCCCCTAAAAATGTGCCGCCCCAAGCACCAGCTTGTTTTGCTGGTGCCTAGAGCCGGCCCTGGCTCTGACCAAGATCAAGCTTAGTCGTGCCAGGCACTGCCCAGACCCCAACCGAGATCAGGGCCCCGTCATGCCGGGCACTGCCCAGATCCCCCCTGAGATCAGGGCCATGTTGTGCCGGGCGCTGCCCAGACCCCAACCAAGATCAGGGCCCCGTCATGCCGGGCGCTGCCCAGATCCCACCTGAGATCAGGGCCATGTTGTGCCGGGCGCTGCTCAAACCCCGCCTGAGATCAGGGCCCCGTCGCGCTAGGTGCTGCCCAGACATACTGTGTGACAGCCCCTGCCCAAGGATCTCCCAGTCTGTACAGATGAAGGATTGTTACAGACAGGCACAGAGGGGGGATGGGACCAGCCTGTGCTCACACAGGGTCTGTAGCGGAGCCAGGAACCCTGATGTTCCAAGCACTAAGCTGGGCCCAGTTATTAGGCCGGGCTCTTCCTGTCGCAGCCTGGGGCCCTGTTGGCCTGGGGCTGCAGGATCCAGCCCACCTAGGGTGACCAGATGTCCCTATTTTATAGGGACAGTCCCGATATTTGGGACTTTTTCTTATATAGGTGCCTATTACCCCCCACCCCTTGTCCTGATTTTTTACACTTGCTGTCTGGTCACCCTAAGCCCGCCTCAGAGCAGGGAGTGAAAGCCTGGTCTGGAGACACACGGAGCCTGTCTCAGGAGGGGCTGGAGTGAGCTAGGGACAAGTGCCTGTGTTGAGCGCTGGCACCGTGCCTGGCACTAGACTGGCCCAGGCAGCCCCAGCCCCAGCTGGGGCATTCCTCATCCATGGGCCGGAGCCTGGACCAATGCAAAACTCCCACGGATGCCAGTTGGGGTCACAGTGGAGTGAGGGGCTGGGGGACCTGGCCTGGAGCCCTGGTCCCTGCCCACAGTGCTGGCACAGCAGGCAGGGCAGGCGGCTGGCTTGTGGCACAGAGGGCTGGGCGAGGGTGGTTCTGTGGGTCTCTTTATTTGTGCTTGGACTTGATAATGACTGCGGCCGCCCAGCCTGGCCACACGGCGTCCCTGGGTGTTAGTGTTGGCACGGATCCTCGCTGCCACCCACACCAGCCCAGCAGCTGGCTGGGGAGGCAAAGGCCAGCTGGCTGCAGCCAGCCAGGTGCCCCCTGGCCCTGCTCACAGTCAGGATCTAGGCATGTTTGTGTGTGCGTGTGTGTGTGTGGGGGGGGGGGGAGGCAGCAGGCAGCAGTAGCC